CTTCGACAGAGTCAGGTCTACGAAACCATACTGGAAGTCGTGGCCACCCGGGTCGGGAGCCTGCTGGGAGATGGTTCCGCCGCCTCCGCCTCGGGAGAGGGAGGGAAAGACGTACGAAGAGGAAGAGGTAATATGGATCATAGAAGGAGAGGAAGGGTGAAGTGAGAAAGACGGAGAACGAAGGAGGACAGAGGAAGGATGGAGGCCGCACATAGTGACAGAGGTCCTGTCAATGACAGGGGCGCACGTCATCTGATTACTGAATGGCGGCGCGGCGGCTGAACAAAAGCTGTCCAGGATGGGAATATTCGAAACCTGGGAATCAAGTTGCAACGCTTCGGCACGCTCGGCATTACGCTACGACGACGCTAAAGGACCACCACGCGTGACCAACGCTGCCGATTGACAGAGGGCAAACCCTGCACGAAGCATTGCGACGCATCGGGACGTGCCCACACTAGAAAACCGCGGTCTACAGTGACCACCGTAGCGAGCTGCAGTGAAAACCGTGGATGTGCAAATGTGCCGCGGGTAGTCAAATATGCACCCCACGGAACTGATTCCCCCACCTGACCCCCACCCCATACGGAACCGCGAGGCTAAAGTGGCTGAGGCCGAAGGAAACACTCCTCTCGACCGATTCGCCTTCAGCTGATCAGAAGCGACGGGAGAAAAGAAACGCACCTAAAGAGCACGCGGGTGCTGGTTTCTGCGCAGGGCGTACGCCCTCGCGGTCTGGACTCATGGGCGCGATCCGGCGGATACGCGGTCGCACGGACAGCTTCCGCACGGGGCATCCGCGGACAAATGCCCCGTATCCGCTGGACGCGGCCTAGGAGCCCGGCCCGCGAGGCCGCGGATACGGATCTGTTTGCCTACGAGAGCGCCTGGAGGCCTGGGCGCAGCAGTGGAAGTACTCGCCACGGTCGACGCTACGCGGTCATCATGCGCTTCGGGGTCGGGCAGCAGTCCCGCCTGTGAAAGGGTGGGGAGTCTGAAATGACTCTGGTAGGTCATATAGCATCAAATTCCATGCCGAAGGAATACGATATGGGGAGTGGATGGATAAGATAGGATAAGATCGATGTAGTGATCTTTCCAGCACATAGCGAACACTAAGGTAAGTGTCCGGGCAAATAGGGCGCGCGTGCTTTGAGCCAAAGGCAGCAGCGCGCAGGCTACACTCCCGATCCTCTATAACATCTCCCAAAGAGCTACCCTTGAAGTCGGGAGGGGAGGAGACGGAGAGCAAAGCCGCGCAGCCGCTAGGCTCTAGAAAGGCCGCGCGCACAACTGTTTGCAAGAAAAACAGCGCGCAGTCTGGCCTACCACCAGACTAAAGGGCGAGATTATTCGCCGGCGAGCCTCCTCGCAAAACTTTTCCACGCACACGCAGGATAGCCCCTTGGATATACAAGGGCTATCGGCCCGGCTAGAGGTAAGCCAAACAGGCTATTCCCCTCCAGGCAAAAGGGTAATAAAGCAAAGAGCCTGTACCAATCTGAACAGGCTCGCTGCCAAGCGTGAAAAGTATGGCTCGTTTCCGAGCAGCTAGGAGGGCGCCTCTGCATTAGGCGCCCGTGCTGGCAAACTGGACCGCGGGGGGAACAAGGACAGACTAAAATTGATTCGACTTAGGCTCGTTCCTGTCCTCGGGGCCACGAAAGGGAACAAACTGCTTCACGTCATACTTAAATGACTGAGTGCCTGACATCACTTCCAGAAGCAGCTCCCGATCGATACTCCCCTTTGTACGCCCATCTGCGGTCATGTCTCTGGTGTCACACCACTGTACGATATGCACTATACCTATATCCATGAGCTCACGTACCCAGATGATATGTCCCAGCAAAGTCCGTTCCGTCGGTATCTTAAGATCTTTGCTGGATAGCGATTTGTATACAGACTCAGCGTCTACAGTAAGGGATACTTTGATAGTTAGGCCTCCAACTTCACGCATGTGTCGTAGTTGTCGTGGAGTAAGTGCTCCTGCCTTGAGCTCGTGGAGAATGATGAGCGTGGGATAACACTCATCAAGATTGCGTGCAGCTGCAAGTGCCTCAGCGGCATAGCTGGACCTCACCTGCAGTCGGTGTGATTCGCATAGTCCGTCGCTAAGGTGAATGACGGATTTGCCTTGAGGCGAGTTTCCTCGCCGTAATACGTTAGCCCCACGAATACCGTAGCCCTTGGTTTCATCGTCCTCCTCCCCGGTGAGCTTCCGATACCCCGAATCACTGTGTATGTCTACTTCATTCGTCGGTTTCATCCGAGGGAAGGTGATGCGTGTCGGGCTGCTGATCAGCTTTCGCGTCACAGCATTCAGTCGTCTGACTTGTAAGTTAGTGGGCTCTTGGATCTTCTGGAGAGAGACCACATACACCATAAGCCAGACTTGAGTAAGAAGGGCATAGGCGAGAGCTCCTCGCAGGCTTACTAACATGTCGGTGATGAGTTTGGTAGCTTTGGCGTCTGCCGCCGCTCCCGTAAGTTCGGGGCGTGTGATAGGACGCAGTTGTTTGATGTACTCGTCCTGGTCCATGATCACATCCCCTTGCTCATTCTTCGTGTAGCGAACGGCACAGTTCGTGTAAGAATGTTTCTTGAGCTTGCATTCACCAAACACCTTTTCGACACGCTGTACATAGGCATATACGTGTTTCTCTTGGCCTGTCACATTGACGTCGTCGACGTGCTTTGCCGTTAACAGATCCTGACTGAATTCAAACTCAGGATCGTAACTTGTCGGTGTAAGGCCTATAGCTCGTGTAGTCGTACGAAGCTTGAGGGAGAACGCTCTTGGGGCACCCTCTGCACCCGTTCCTGGCTCGAGGCACCCGAGGCAGTGTCGGCTTTCATCGTAAGAAGAGAAGCCTGGTAGTGCACGAAGCACCTGGGCACTTCCTGGTGGAAGGGCGAAGCAAACCATGCGAGTTTCCTCGCCGGTGGCATGAGCAAGTTCCTCATAGGTCAATCCTTCGAGGAACGCTTTGTCGATGTCCATAGATGCTAAGATCCATTCTGGATGACATGCCGCCTCACTTGCCAGGAGCCTCTGGGACTGTCTTCGAGCAGTTCCTGAGAAGGTTTCTACATCGAGAGCCTCCGTGTCCATGATTCCGCGGAGGACAAGTCTGAGACGGATGGTTTTAACATTCTCGGTGCCTACCTTCACAAACTTCCACTTGTATACACATCTGGATATCATGATGTTGGAAGCTTTAGATCGGTCACAAATCTCAAAGCATCGGTTGCCAAGCCAGATCTTGAGTTCGGTGTACAAGGCTTCACTAACCTCTTTAGGATGTGCTGCTATATCGGCTTTGGTAAGTAGGTCGTCTTCCTTGACTACCACCGCACTCTTAGCAGCCGATGATACGTACACTCTCTTCGTTGCGACCATGTCTGTTTCAAGCTGTGCAAGTTGGGTCTGATCCAACACTACCTTTGACATGTCTGGCGTGTAACATAGCTCAACCTAGGGACCATGTTCATCACTGTCACGAGAATAGCCCTCGTCAAGTGTAGTCGAGCATAGAGAGATAAGACAGGGCTCTTGTAGTTCAGGCTCGTCTCCGAGCATCTCCGACACTACGGTATCTTCATCGTCCACGGATGCTGAGACCAAGACGCATTGGTCGGGCAGCATGGTTGGTGGGACGCAGTAGAGATAGTCGTCGATAACCGTTGTGGGATGAAGGTCCATACGTAGCTCATCGTACCACTCCTCCATAATCATAGCCTCGATGTCGTGTTCCTCGCTTTCTTCGTAGATTGTAGACAGGCGACCTTCACTTGGTGATGAAACACCCGGGGTGCCTGGAGGAGGCCTGTCTCCAGGCTGGTCGCGTTCTCCAGACGTTGCGCCCAAGTGCTGATACTGGGCAAGGGCGTCATGAAATCCTAGGGAAAGAACTTGTGATGTCAGGCACTGGATGAGTCTGGAGTGAGTGTTACCAGTGATTTGAGAGATGTCCAGGCCTGTGCCCGCACACTCATAATAGTGGAAGGCTGGGTTAACATCGCTGTCGTGGTGGATCAGTGTAGACCCGGTGGCGTACTGCACTGCAGGTAGATTGGACACGCTCTTGGCCAATCTCACGGCTACTACACGTTCAACTCGGAAATAATTTCGCACGAGATACTGCAGTGCAAGGTGTACGCGCGGGTGAAACTTGCTGTCGTCGGAAAGATTGAGGTTCCCCTTGTAGTCTGGAATATAGCCAAAGACTTTGGCAGGTTTCCCTGCACCAAGGTGTGCCACATGTGTAAGGACGATTTGCATGGCCATGTTGTCCATGCCAAGTTCCCTGGTAAATGGCATTTAATGTATAGCGTGTGGCGAGCATCAGGGTACATTACAATTACCTCACGCGATCCTGCCTTGACGACGACGTGTCCTCGTTCAGGCACGTTACGGATCACAGGAAACGGGCCATTCCAGCCTCCACGGTCGTCCTTAGTGGCTGTAGGTCGGTGATAATCGACCAAGTCCCCAGCTGAGCACAGGCGAGCACCATCTGGGGCCGTCTTAGCCCTGAGAGCACGATTTGTCTTAGCTACCGCCGTGGCTTGATTTATTACTTCCAGGCGAATTGCCCTCACACGGCGTTCTCGTTCGTGGCCTGACGTCTCGGGTCCCTTAGGGAAGTCAAGGGTGTCGAGGTCAGGAAGAAAAGAGGGCTGTCGCCCAGTGTGTGCTTGGTACGGCGATACTCCGTTGAAAACCGTGAAAGCGTTGGTGACGAAGACGCCTTCAGCCAATACTTTAGTACATACAACGGGGATGTTGTGTCTGTTCAACTCTTCCTCAATCATATGGAGAGTGCCCCTAAGAATGCCGTTGCGTGACTCGATCGAGGTCGCGTGCTGGCCAGGCGCTCGGATACGAAGTGTCGTACCTTTGTTCGCCATCATGGCCTTGGCAGTTTCATCGTTGAGGGCACCTTCTCCATCGGAATACAAGACTTTGAAGGGTCCATGATAGGCAATCCAGCAGCAGTGGTAGGCGTCGAGTATAGTGTCACGTTCTCTATCAGGAATCTCTTGGCCTGCTGCCAGGCGGATACATCGGTCCATAATATGAAAT